ACGTCTGAAATTATTTCGAAATGAAAACATTAAAAAGAATGTTCACTTCAGTTTCTTTCAACATTATTTTTCTTATGTCACTGTCGTGAGTTAACAGTTCGTGTTCACGTAGAGCCTTAGAATGTGACCTTATTTGGACACAGTGTCTTTGTAGATGTAATTAGTTAAGATGAGGTCATGCTGGTTTAGGATGGGCACCAAATCCAACAACTGGTGCCCTTATAAGAAGAGGAGAGGACTTACACGCAGAGAGAAAAAGGCCACGTGAAGACGCAGGCAGAGAGCGCAGTGACACAGCTACCAGCCAAGGAAGCCAAGGACTGCTGGGAGCCACCAGAAGCTGTGAAGAATCAAGGAAGGATTCTTCCCTAGAACCTTCAAAGGGAGCACGGCCCTGTCGACACCTTGATTTCAGTTTCAGCCTCTAGAACTGCGAGAGAATAAATTTGTTTTAAGGCAGCAAATTTGTGGTAATTTGTTTCAGCAATCCTAGGAAATTAATACAGTCATCCACCTGCTTAAAACAACGGATCTCGGGTCTACAGGACACCTTAGTCTGGCATCCACAAGCCTCTGATAATGCTAATAATAATACCATTTATTGACCATTCACTACAAGCCTAACACTGTGCCGAGTGCATGACATACATCATTTCCTTTAATCCTCATAACATCCGAACCCAACAGATTCAACGACTAACCCTTCAGAAGGGAAATGGAAGTTTGGAGTTAAGTAGCGTGCGCAAGATTAGACAGCTAATCAGTAGAGCAGCCAAACACTGCCCCCTGGAGGCGGCCTCTCTACATTCACTGTGCCCCTCACGCGCCTCGGCCAAAGCAGGCAGGCCCACTCTCCCCCAGCACACAGTCCAAGCAGCCCTGAATCTATACTTCAATATTACAACTGCCCCTTCCTCCTTGGCCCTTTAAATCCTTCCCGCCCTAGACCAGCCCACGCTCCCTGTCCTCCATGGACTTTCCAGGGCCCGCCAGGCCACAGCCGTCCCTCCGACTCCTTGAACTCAGTGCTCACTTCTCTCTTGGCCCTAAAATATGCTCACGACTACTTTTGAAGTTATTTGGCTTTTTAAAGAATTGTTTGCCTCCAGCTGGTAGCAAGTACCCTGCAAGCATATTAGTTATATGTAGGTATTCACCACACACCTTTTGATTTCAAGTGTGTCTACACTGCCAATAGTCTGCTGGGAGCTGAGAGCCTGGCTAATCGATTTCAACATGGCACTGTTGTACATTGTTAGTCTACACTGCAGTAATTGTTAAGTGAATAAAACTTGGTTTGTTTGAAAGGTCCAAGAAAATAATACATTTTGACCAGAAAATTAGTTTTGTAATTTAGGGTGGAATATTGAACTTCATAGCAGGTTAGACATACCATGTGCCTTATGCTTTGTACAAAGATCTGATGTGTGAGAAATTCTAGTTTGAAAAGGTTAACTGTATTATACTACGCCTAACTAGTAGAGAGATGTCGGGCGTAGTAAACAATCTGATTTTCAGCTGACCGAGGTGCCGATATGAACAATGCCCTGTTCACAGATGTGGGATTCATACGGGTCTTGGATTATCCTCTGAGACGCCAGGGGTCTACTGCAAGGGCCAGGAGCAAAAGCAGCAGGGTTCAAGAAAAATACCACTGACAGCACACTGATGAGTGCAAACTGACACCGGCCAACCTGTGACGCAGAGCACACGGAACTTTTAACCACTGGGCCTCAGGGCCCCACGATGGTGGGGGGCGGGGCGCTGTATTTTACACAGAGTGAAATGGGAAACCACTGGAAACTTTATGTATTAGAACACGTGATTAATGTTTTAAATAGATCAACTACTGTTTGAAGGGTTTGGCAAAGGAGATGGAAATGCTACTACACACACTATTGAGGTGGGAGCTGACACAGGGGAAAGGAACGTGATGACTCTCCTGTCCTTAACACAGGCTTAGCATTCTACCGAGTGAGGCGGCAAAAACAGAAGAGGACACCTGGAGTCAGAGAGCCCAGGGTCTTCCCGCTCTGTGAAACCGCTCTGTGAAACTCACCCACTGTTCAGATGCAGGTCCAATCTCAGTGAAGCAGCACTCTTGAAACAGCCGTATTTTGAATTGTGCTCACAGGAAACGTAGAGTTCAAACTTTTCTAAGTAGTTGAGTGCTTTCTAATGAGAATTATTTGGATTACTGGGTAAAAACAGAACCCTCCTATACTTGCCTAACACACATACTACACAAAATGCTGTGAGGAGAGGGCCAGTTTGCAGATAAGAGGTTAAGTAACTTGCCAAGTCAACTTAGGAGGGAATGACTTGAATGCAGAGCCGACATGGAAGTCCACGTTCCTTTATTCCAGAAACAAAGTTCAAGTGGCTACAAACGAAGCTGTGGCTTCCAGCCACACAAACAGCTACTCTAGGGGATGTGAGGGGATCAAGGTACACAGCGAGTGCTGCTGCCTTCCACTTCCAGGGGTGGAAGTGATGGTTTTCCTTATCAATCCTATGTACATTCTCTGTCTCTCCAGCTAAACTAAGCCCCCAACATACTGATGCTTTTAATATGGTTCTTAAAAATCTGGTCTTTAATAAAAAACCTTGGGCCCGCCCCGTGGTTAAGTTCATGCCCTCTGCTTCGGCGGCCCAGGGTTTCACCGATTCAGATCCTGGGCGTGGACCTAGCACCGCTCATCCAGCCATGCTGAGGCAGCATCCCACATAGCAGAACCAGAAGGACCTACAGGTAGAATATATAATGATGTACAGGGGTGGGGGGGAGCTTTGGGGAGACGAAGGCAAAAAAAAACCTGGACACATTAAAAAAAAAACCTTAATCTTCATGATTATCTATTACAGCCCATGGTGAGTTAAGAAACAGCTCTTAGGGCAATGAATATTTCTTATTACAAAGTTATCTTACTTTTGGAAACTTTCATGAAAGCTAACTTTAAATTTTTTAAATAAGGCAGGTTGTGGGCATTAATAATGGGGTAATAACTGATGGTAAGTAACAGTGACAATATTTAAAGCTATAAAGCAAAACTAACTACTTCAGTGAAGAGGTAGTCATTTTCATGATCACTTTGTTTCAAAACAGAAAGGTGATTAAGAATTTCACTTGTCTTCCTCTAGGGTTAAGATACCAATTGGAAAGGACAAAGGTAACATTCCGCAACATAAAAGGACTTGTATTAACAACCAGAATCATTAGGACAAATACTAAGCAGCTTATTTGCATTAAGGTCTACAGCTGTCGTGGGTAACAAAGATGGGAGAACGTAGACACAATCGGGGAACTTACGTGTAAGGATGGTGACACACCAACACTAACGGGTTAAGAATCAGAACTCAATGAAACCCCTGGTGAATGCGGCAGCAGTCCAGTACCAGCTCTGGAAGAACACACGGCCTAGGGCTCCAGACTTCTAAATTTCAGATAAGGAAAAAATTTAAAGTTATCAAGCCTTCAGATCTATGAGTTTACAATACGAGGGACAGAAAAATTGTGCTCAGTGACACCATGGGGTCACAATGAGCGTACCCAGAATATGGAATATTCCTTAGGACAAATGACTCAATTTCTTTAAATTTTAAGGAAAAAAAGACGGAGAATCTGTGATTAAAAACAATGCCAAAATACAGACCTTGTCTGAACAAACCAATTACAAAAAGACATCAGTAGGGATAGTAAGGGAAATCTGGATACTGACTGGGTAGTAAGGTATTACTGTTGACTTCTTTGTAATAAAAGTATTGTAGTTCTATTTAAAACTCCTTACTTTCTAGATCAAAATACTGAGGGACGATATCATTTGTCTGGGATTTTCCTCCCATAGGGCTGGGAAGTGGAGAGGTGAATTGGTGAAGTATAAACAAGGTAGGCTCAATACAAATTACTTTGGGGGGGACCAGCCCTGTAGCGCAGCAGTTAAGTGTGCTCGTTCTGATTCTCTGTGGCCCCGGGGTTCTCTCTCCCCAAGTTGCTCCTTCTTTTTTTTTTTTGAGGAAGATTAGCCCTGAGCTAACATCTGCTGCCAATCCTCCTCTTTTTGGCTGAGGAAGACTGGCCCTGAGCTAACATCCATGCCCATCTTCCTCCACTTTATACTTGGGACACCTACCACAGCATGGCATGTCAAGCGGTGCCATGTCCACACCCAGGATCCGAACCGGCTAACCCCTGGCTGCCAAAGCAGAACGTTCGAACTTAACTGCTGAGCCACTGGGCCGGCCCCAGCAGCTTTTTTTAAAAAAAAATCCTTAGTGGCAGTAAATCTTCTCTTTATGGATGTATTTCACTTTCTGAAACAGCAACAAAATATTTTGTGCCAAGTCTAGTGGACAAGTAATAAAGGTGGGTAAAAAAAGACAATGGAGAACAGTCTAACTGTAAACTAATAAAAATTATTATTTATTATGGCCTTAAGATCGCTTACTTCACTTCCAAAATATGTAACTTCATTCATTTGAACATACGACTTCTGGCTTTTCCAAGAAAATTTCGTTTTCTTTGCAGTCAGATTTTACTTAGCCAGCCAGGACCGCTGCATTCTCCTAGCCTAGATAAAAACTCAATTCACAGCACTGCCACGGTTCAGGGGTGCCTTGAAAGCGTGTAACAAAGACAAAAATCATCTCTAAATATTTCAATTAATGAAAAACTTTAAAGATCAATAGTTGGGTCTGATTTACTATCATGTTAAAGCTTTGGCTTGTTCAAGGCGGCAGGTCACTTTGGAAACAGTGCTTAGAACTGACTTACCCTTATGGTACTATTTATATGCAAACCAGGTTTCAACTTCAAGACTGGTTTAGTGCTACCACCTAACATTTAATGTTCCATTGTTGGGCCACTCTATTTGCTTTTCCTATAGACAGTGAAGGCTTTTATAATAGCTCCCAATAAACAATTGTATTTTAATAATCTCAAACTACAACTAAAAGAGGAAAGAAGAGGTGCGTCAGAAAAATAAGTCATTTTACTATTAAAATTTTGCTGTTTTTAATAATTTATTTAAATAAGGTATTTGAAGCAGTTTAGAAAAACAAGATTTGTATTTTATTTCCTTGTAAAAATCTTTACACATGCAGACAAACCAGTGTTAAGAAAGTATTCACCATCATTTAAACAAATAACCACTTAAATAGAACAATGTCTGCAATTTTATCTGTATAAAAATAAGATACATTTTTACAGAATTCACGCTCCAGTTCTTATAGCAATAAACAATACACAACTATAGTAAGTACAATTGAACCTGACCATGGTTTTCAATTAGATACTGCTAGGGCATTTTAATGTGCAAAAAGAAAAAAAAAAAAAATTAACATAGTTCTTTCCAAAAGAAAATGTCCTCAGTGTTTCTAGAGACCTAGAGGGTTTCAAGAAATCAAATCCTAATCAGTTTGCTTTTAATGTTTTGATTACGAGTCCATACATCACATTGGAGATAGGCAAAACCAGGAACTGATGCATGCTCAAAGGTCAGCGCCTGTGCCTGCCATGTCCTGAGCGACTGCCACCATGGTGCTTGCCTTTGTGGGACCTCTCAAAGGAGCGAGATCTCTCACGCCTGTCCCTATGATGTCCCCTTTCGTGCCTGTGTTTCTTGGCAGCATCTGAGTGATCCCGAGACTTGCTCTGAGAGCGAGAACGAGATTTTTTCCTTTTATGACCATGTCTATTTGAACTTTTTAAATCATCTCTGGTATGCTTGGCCTTAAGGTGAGGAGAACCATGATTATGATGTCTTCTTGGGCTTTCACTGTGACTGCGGGACCTGCTTCTTGATCTTGAGCTGTACGTTCCAGATCGACTCCGCCTATTATTGTAACTTAGATAATAAAAATTTAAGGTTTAGATTTAGTTTCTAGTGGGAACAGATTATTTTTGTGGTGTTCATTACAGGTTCAAAACAAAACTATCGACCTGTACCAACGACAGGCCAGACTGAAGACTTAATTTCCCCACCCCCAACTACCTCCCCTCCAGCCTGCAACACATTAGACAAATCTTACACAAATGTACTATATGTCTATACTCCAAGGAGGGGAGTAATTAGCAATTTTTACAGTGTCCTGGATAGCTATGCTATTTACTACCTCCTCCCACATGCTCAAAGGAGCCACTGAAGAGCCACAAGTAGCTAGTAATCCAATTATAAAGCTAACCAGGCAAGATTCTTTGACTATGGTCGACCCGATTACTGGTTATTAATAAGTGGTCAATGAAATACTCAGATTTTCTAACTGAAGTCAGGCAGAAAAACAATGTTTTCACATTATAAAAAGGATATCATATATCTCCATAGGGCTTTGGCCAGCCCCCACACTTCCCCAAAAATCATGGCCAAGTACAATAGAATGTCATTAAGAACCACCACACACCACACAAGCCACATATGCGCAGAGTGTATTTCCCAACTCCACTGCTCATTATTTACTTCACGTGAAAAGCCTAAACCCAGCCTAACGCTGAAAACAGTCTATGTTGAATTTTTCTTTTTAAAGTAGTAACCTTTCAAGACTCCAAATAAGCCCGCTTTCCCTGAGGGAATTATGTACTTACTGTCTTCTTGGAGTGTGTGATCTAGAGCGTGATCGCGTCCTTGACCTCGATCGACTGGCACTTCTGCTATTTCTACTTCTCTTGCTGTCTTTTCTTACACTTCAAAAACACAATATTTCAGTTACATACTTAGTGTGTTAGAATTTAAGCATTAAGAGATTGCTTGGGCCAGTTTTCTAACTCAAGTATACTCACCCATTGTAAGGGCTTTTGGAAGCCTGTTGTCTATCCTCAGGTTCTTTCTTGACCATCTTCACATTAACAGAGACTGGCGACTTCTCTTCAGTTTTTACTTCTCTTGGTGAGGCTTTTAAAAAACGTGAAGACACGTTAACTACAGGATTTAACAGAGGGCCAAAAGTTGTTTCTAAATGTAACCTGAAGCACCATACTTTCAAGTGTCAGTCTCGAGCTGACTGCCATGACAGAAGACAGTAACGGCTTCCTGACATCATTGCTTCTACGCAACTGTTAACACCGAAGCATTCCAATAACCATACCCCCTCAGGGCCCAAGTTGTCTCAACTCTGAGTGAGCCTTACATGGTTTAGAGGCTGGGGAAAATCCACCGAGGGTTGAAAGGGCAGGAGTTCCATCAGGATTCAATCCCTTTGCTTTTAATTTGGCTTCTTGTAAGGCTACTTTCCTCTTCTCTACTTCCTTTTCCAGCAATTCATAGTTCGGCTGTTGGAGGGAAATGAAACTAGTACTCTCCTTCACAGAAGCTGTGATTCTTAGCACTGAGGAAGCATTAGCATAAACACAAGTGGACACAATTACCTTTTTTCTGGTATAAAGCCTAAGCGTTTCTATGCAGATTTCCTGGATCTCCTCTTCGGTAGTACCAAAGAGAAGAAACCAATGGGGACGAGTTGGCAACGGAATCTAAACCATAAAAACAATGGTTTGGATTACATTTTCATTATAGTTTAGGAAGACTGGTAATTCTTGTGATTTATCCTATAGGACAAAACAGGCTATATATACCTACCTGAAGAGCTCTAGCTGCAAGGTAGATGCAAGCACATGCTATAGTCTCTGGTTGAAACCGAACAAACACATTGGTTCGAAGACTGTCATTCATATAATTCCTGAAAAATATTTCAACCATAAGCTCTGTACATAAACAAACCAGTTCTTCTGAAGCTTACATAAAATTGGAGACTCAATCTACTTTATTCTTTTTTCTTCTCATACTTATATTCATATCCTCATATTCTAGCATGTAACAATTCTTAACTCAAAAAGCAAGAGAAGAATTTAACACTAGAATCATTCTTCAACTTTCGTATATATGATCGAAGTCCTTTAAAATAATTCCATATTATTATTCCAAATAGAACTTACTTCTAAAGTTTTGAAAATATATTTATCTGAAAAGCAATGCTTTGAAAGTCAATTCAGACACCACAACTTTCAGAAATGATAAACCACTCCAACAATACTTCGAGCCATTAATTATTGACCATCTCTCCTTTATCCACAATGAAAAGCAGTGTCAACCAAGTTCTTTCAAAATATTGTGACGGGTAAAAAGGCATTTTCAGTAACCACTCATCAAGTTATATTAAGAAAACTAAGCTACTTCAGAAAATCTAGGTACGGAAGTGAAGAGCAATAAATACATACAACAGCCTTGTTTATAAACCTTTTTTGTGACTAATTATTAATAAAAGCAATAAACTACTTCAGTTGTTAAACTGCTGGACCTCTTCTTGAGTGTACCCTCCCCGCAACATTCCTAAAGTAGTGAAGAAATTTTACAAATTGTTTCAAAGATTAAAATTAAAGACTATTTCTTAAAAATCCTTATCCATGAAAACTGCTGTTTTATAGAACATATATTAAAAATGTCATGCATTTTATAAAATCAACAGACTCTGCTAATATTACTACTATCTACTGAGTCCAAAAGAAGTAGGGCAGTCATAATTCCAGAACATAAAAATCGTCATTTAAATCCTGCACATCATCAACAGACTCGGAGACGGTATTTGTGGCGGGACCACAAACTCCTTGTTTTACCTTTAAATAAGCCAGCACTCCAAATGACACATCTGCATCTCAGAAGTCCAAGTTCTACAGTGCTTATGTTAACAATGTCTTTTAAGAATGAAGTAGTACTTCTAATATTATTGCCTGCAACAACCCAGCAGCTAGAAATTCATCCAGTATGGGAATGATGCCCATTTTAAGCTGCAAGTTGTAGTTTCATTTGATAGAATTCATGCTATACATACTAAAAATAGAAATCTAGTCAAATTCCTAACAAAAAAAATCATTTAATTCATAATATCTGAACAAGAAATCTATCAAAAATGAACTATTCATTTTGATAGTTACAGGTATACATTAAATACACAGGCATGTTGAATAGTTACTTCTAGAAACAAATATACAAATCCTTTGGACACCCCGACAGAACTAGAAGATGCTGCCAGATGGATATGGACCACTTCAGTGAATCTCGGATGAGAGCTTGCACTGGATTGGCTGGAGAGCAGGGCAGCCAATCAGGCCATCCTGAGGTCATGGGCTGAAGTGCAGAGGGCAGAGTTCTATGACTTACCATCATGGACTACCCTTTAATTAAAGAGTAGAAAAAAGAAGAAAGTTAAATTGAGTTCTCCATTAAAAGTAATTAGTCAAGCCAAGAAAACAGGAAGCAGAAATAAGCATTATTTACCTTTTAATTAACAAACAAAAAAACAAAAAGCACCAAAACAAACTCATCTCATTGTTTTAGAAAGGGAAAATGAAACTTACTTTATTTCTGCTTCTGTTTTCCTGGCTAGAAAAGAAATGTAAAAAAGCAACTTACCAGGCAGTTTGAACCAGGGTTTGATTACGTTCACATTCTAAGACTTGTAAATACATAACAATGATCTGAAGGACAAGGGAAAAAAACTCCATTTAGCATATCGGTGGTTCTTTCAGATTACAGTGTTCAATGAACATAGGTAACTGAAAACGTTAGGTGCAAGTTTTAATTCTTCTAAAAACTGCACAGATAGTACAGACCAACCTAAAATGTACCTAGGAGTCAACGGGTTATTATGCCATTAGACTTCACAAAAATTATGTTTAACAGTATGTTCCAAAATTGTATGGAAAAAAATGGGAGTTGATCAATTAAAAATAATACCTAATTCTTTGTGGACACCTGACTGTGTGACAGGGCACGATGCTAGATTCTTTCATTTAATTTCCCAAGGTACAATTCTACATGTCCAAAAACCCGAGAGACTATGTTTTTAAAGTTATACACTGGGTATAATACATAATATGTAATACTCAGAGCGGATATTACAGTAACGAAGCACTAATATTTTTACTGTGAAGCTTATCACATGGAAGTGTGACAAGTAAACACTATATATTAATAGCTTTACCTCAGTTCAGGTCAGATCTTTCGGGACCTGTACTATCACTCCCATTTTTCAATTTTAGACGTGCGGAATCTGAGGAATGGCGATATCTACCAAGGTCACACAGCTAATGGCAGAGACAAGTTTCTATCCCAGGTAGTCCTGCCCCAAGAGCACCCATTCTTGTAACCAGTGCGCTATTACTCAGGTTGGTCATACGCAAGCTGAGCGATGCTGGAGAAACCTATAAATGTTCAATAACACTAAAAGTGAGCAGTTGCCACACTCTGAGCATTTTACTAGGGGACAGGTAGCGTGCCAGGTACTTTTGCAAATATACATTCATTCCTTCGAACAAGGTATCTCACAAACTCCATTTTATAGGTGGGGAAACTGGGTTAACCACAGAAGCAAAAGTAACTTGTCTGTGTCCACACAACAAAGAGTGAAGATTTCACCCCAAGTCTTTTTTACTTCCATTTTACTAAGAAATTTCAATATCCAAAAGGATGCTTTTTAAAACCAAGGTTAACACTCAAATATGAACATAATATAAACTTACGTAAAAAATAAAATTTTAAAGAAAACCCTAATACTTACGAATTTAATTTCTGTACTCTACAACTCACCTTATGGGGATGCTTGACATGAACACAAAATCCCAACTCCTTTAGCACCCTCCTTTCTGCCTTGATAACTTGGTTTTTGGTGTTAATGTAGTTCTGATCAAGGATCAGGGGACTTGGAGTCCTATAGTTTGTAAGAAATAAAATCAAAACTGTTTTGCACATCCAAAAAATTTTATTTGTGGCATCTCCATTTTCCCTTCCAACCAACTATTGGCAACAGAAACCAGCTTTTTAAACTCCTGCAAACAAGTTAAAGCATTAATCTTGTGCTGTCCAAGTTATGCTAATTAAATATATACTTTCTACACTAAGTTCCTATGGAAACTAACTCAACCCTGTAATGAAAAAATTCACTTTAATGTTCTTGGATTTATCCTCGTTGATTTGTTTCATACAGATTGTATTTTGGGTATACATATTAACTTAAGTGACAGACTGATTTATTTATCAGGAAGTCCATTTAGTCTCTAGACTCTTTACAATGACAAAATATATGTGGCTCAAAGATATTTACTGTAAAGACCTCACAAGACTATAGTAATTTTACTTATTTTATAAAATACCAACTCTTGGCTAGTTTTATCACCCAAAAAATAAAAATTAGGGGAAAGAAACAGTGATTAGGTAATCCAGATTCCCACAAATGGGTAATTTCTTTAAACAAATTGTTCTAAAAATCTGTTATAAAGAAAATAAACTAAAAACTAAAGATGCAGCTCAATTACCAGGGAATGTTTTAAAAATCAAATTTAAAAGTTAAAGTGATCAAAAACGAGATCTAATTTTGGTCAGTGGTAGTTATTAGGTAACATTTTTAGTATGAAATGCAAAAGAGAAGAGAAGATCAAAATGAAGGACCCAGAACATTCAAGGTCTCTGTGCCAGACTAAATTTAGATACTTTCAAAAGTTGGGACGTAGAAGGCTATCAGGAGTTCAATGCTTTGGAAACAGCACGTTCAATTAAAAGACTATCTTATGTAAGTCTTAAAATTCAAAACTGGTTTCTTATTGAGAAGTTTGTTTTTAGTGAGGACTTAAGACTTTTATTTAAAAGCCTATGAAATGTACCAATCAATGTCCTTCGTTTGATACGTTTTTAGATCCAACAAAAAAGTACATTTTTATTAAGACACTGATTATATGTATGTATATGGGTAGAATATTTTCCTCCATACTCAATTCATTTTCAGCCAAAAGATTCAAGAGTTTCTGCTCTGGGAAGAACACGAAATCTATTTTTAAAACATAGTCATTCTGAATATTACCCCAACTCACAACTCATTTCACCAAGCACATCAACTCCAGAAAAACGTAACCTCATGTTTTAAAGTAAAAAACCTATTTAAATACATCCACTTGAGGATGAGAAAACAATCTGACATAAGCTACATTAACCACCCCTGCAGTAACATGTTGAGTACAAATCAGCTATCATACTTATTTTCCTTACGTTCTCTCATTTAAAATTATAAAAACTGGAATGTTTGCTACACTATTTCAAATTATTCTACATGATTTTTATCAATTTAAACAAGACAAAAGTTGGCAAAGTGACAAAATGGAAAGTTGTTACTTAAATTAACAATGCTGAAGAGGGCCTTCCCTCAATTCAATGCCTATTACAGCTATGAAGAGTGAGGATCAGCCACCAATCGGGGAGGATGCTGATTTCTAACACAAAAATACAGCAATGAATCCATTTATCAGGACAGTAGGTTATAAGTTAACAGCTCGTTGGGGAAAAAAAAATCTAACTCAAATGAGAGCAAACCAATGTATATAAGGAAACGCGTTCCAAAGATCTTAAGGTTTATGACTTTTCAGGTTTTATCACAGCAAGAAATCTGGAAAAATGTCAACTCCAGCTCCGACTCTTTAGCTGATGACTAGTTCTGATGGCTCTCCTTCAACAGGCGTTAGGAGATAGAATGCTTCTGGTGTTATAGCTGCACACGCTTGAACTCTTATCCCCCTATAATTCAGACCCAAAACTGCACTATTAGAATTCCTATAAAAATAAAAATTTTAGAAGAGCAGCTTCATCTCCTTTTCCCCATTTATGTTGAGCAAACTCATTTATCTCTCTAAGCTTGCTTTAAGAGTTGCCTTCAAATTCTGTTAAAATCCATTTTTCTTAGAATTAACCAGCTAAACACTTGCTTGAAATATGGCTACTATCTGGTCCCAAATTACGCTTGATCAATAATTCTGCTTACATGAATTATTTTCCATCTATTCTGCCACAATCTTTTCCCTTTTTTGGCGTCAAAATCCCAGTAATATTAAAACCGATTAAGGAAACCAAACCTATTAAATTTACAATTCAACTATATTACTCAACTTCTTATGACTACTCCTGCCCACAGTTGTCAAAGTTAACTTTGTGGGTGTGTAACCTCTTACTTCATTTGTTCAGCATTGGTTTTGCCTCACAAATCAAGGAAGGCTCAATGAACATATTAATTTACAAACCTTACAAAGATTACTTTGTATCAGAAATAGAAAAACGTGTCCCACAAATCAGCAGTTAGAAACAGTTCAATAAAACTATCTAAGCAAGTGGTTTCTTTACTTATATTAACAAAGTATCAATGCGTCCTTTCTCTGGTAACAAGCGCAGTAAACTGAATTTGTCTTGCTAGAATTTCTTCTTCCCCAATTAGGTCAACTGTCCTTTCCAACGAAAGTCTGATGAGGCATCATTTTTAATCTTTTAGAAAGAAACCATCTATTCAGAGAACGATAATTTTCCTTATCAACAAACAGCCAAATCAAACTCTACCTCTCTTGCTTTTTGTCAGATTTTTCAGATTAATTCATATGAAAAACTATTTTCAAAGTTTAATGTTAATAGGACATCTTGGGCTTTGGTCATTTGAAGTTTATTATCTGGTCTCTTAGAATAGCTGTTTTTCCTTGAGCATGATCAATTTAGGTGAAATACAATTTAACAAAAAAAGGGGAAAAATTAGGATTAAGTGGTCCAAACATGATTAGTCTCACCACATGGAAGGACTGAAAAAAATTTTCAACTATTTCTTCAGGAGGCTATACTACTAAAACGAGATAAGTAGTTTCTAAGGAGACAGAGACTGCTGCTCAATATACAGAAATTTGTAATGCCTACTTCAAAGGAACATTCTTTCTTTAGCAGTGTTTAAACAAACTGAAGGCCACACCTTTACAGACAGCAACATAAACTGCAGCGATTCAACTAAATGACAAGACCACTTAGGACCTTTCCAACTCTTATCAGTGATCTATACACCTTCAAAACACCACACCACATTCACCACTGAGTGGCTGCACCAGTCTTTGAAGACTTAATTGTCTTCTTTTAAATGAACTGTGGGATCCTTAAAACTACAGAAAATCCTTAATTTGTTGGGAATATGCTGCATCTCAAATGCAAACTGTTCTCAAATGTTCTAAATTGTTAAAACAAAAAAGTGATCTTCCCTTTAAATTCAGCCATTTATTCTGAGCTTAAAAGACTATTATCAAACTACAAAAAATTGAATGGAAAAAGTCAAATAATCCAGGATAGGGCTTGGGCCCTGGTACTTTCTAAAAGCTCCTCTGGGGATTCTAATATGTAGCCAGGACCAAAACACAATGACCTAACGGCTACAAAAATGATGGTTCCTCTGTAATAATCAAGGTCACACTACCGTTTAAAGCTACACATAAACTAGGTTAAAATAAACAGCATCATTAAGATAAACTGGTATACCCTATCTACCTAAAGTGTGATACTGATAGTACTTTCTAATGACATTCATCTACGCAAAAAAACAGTAAGCTGTGGTTTTAATAACTTGGACAGCAAAGACAAAAGCTTATAACAGGAAACAGGAGTTTTTCTAAATGGTTCACCAGTGGCCAACCTGTTAGTCCCCGATTCCAGTGACCTATTCTCAGAGCACTGGCTTCTCCTTGGGGATTTTCGATACTTCACTCACTGTTGCCATGACGACAGCTTCATCTCTATGTACCACTCCACATCACCCAGGCTTTGGTAAATGTAGCTGGTCGCTGTATAGTCGGTTGCAAGGGAAAAAAGAGTTGAAGTTAATAACATATACAAGTTACGCGTCTGAGTAAACTTGTAATATGCATAGAAACACTTTTACATCCTGCTTTAAAAAAGGGCTTCCATGCAATTAACTCCTTTTAAATTTCATGCTATAATCAGACTTCTAGGATTGAGACAAAAATCATTTTCTCTGTAATAATGACCAAAAAAAAAAGTACTGTTACATCAGACACAACAGTCAGGTGAGATGTCTTAAATTCCGAAGTTCTCATAGTTAAGACCTACTCTGACATCAAGGAAGAATCTAAGTCTCAGAAAAATTTCAAAGTAAATTATCATTCTAAGTAATAACATAACAGTTGGCTCAGTGGTTCAAAGAAGACTAACAGAAGACAGAAAACTACTTCCTTTAAGCAAACACAGAATCCTTTGACTAAAGATAAAGAGCCTTTTTATAAGAGTCATTTTATTTTAAAGACCCTGAAGAATCGGCTGGATATCTACAAATTTTAGCTCAAACCATACTAAATACCAATTTGAAATCTTCCCAATTTCCAGAGATTCCTCACCAAGAAGCTAAAAGATATTTTAAACAAAATAAAAAATTAGTCTATGCCTGAACATGGTTAGGGTGAATGAGAAGAGATGGCCAAGGGAAAAAAAAAAAGTATGTAAGAAAACTGAAAAAAATGCTGTGAAAATGATCTGGGTAGCAGACTTTTTAAGTAGACTAATCGCTTTAACGTTACTTTACTATTTGCCTGTCACTGAATAGTTCCATTACTGCCAACTTACAGATTCAGCCAACAAGGACCACTCAAGCAGGATACTAATTTGGCACTAACCAATGCCCAACCCCAACAACTTAAAATCCTTTTATAACTAACTTCCTTTCAACTCAAAACAAATTTGTCTAACATCATCACAATTTCTTTAAAGGTGAACACAAGCTAATCTACACCAAGTATATCCTTCTGCTGCATGTACTAGAAGTCACCTGTAGACCCAGGAAGCCCTGTAACTAAAACTCTTTGGTAGAGCCTCATGTGAACACTCAGGTCCACAAAAAGTGTTATCATGTAGCCACAACACCAGAAAGATGACACACTTTGATCTCTAGTTTCTTACAAGATCAAATAGATGGGCCTTATCTAAATGCAACCCAATCAATGATTATTCTAACCCACTCACTGAAGACTATGTCTGACCAAAACAAAATACCTGTTTAATCCCTTTGACTTCAAACTTCAAACTTTATCATCCTGCAGTCCTTTCAGATCCGGTATTATTCGATATATCGTGGTTCAATGTGGAGAAGTACTCTAACAAAAGCCAACCTCAATATTAACTTGAACTGCAGTGTTTAAACTTCCAGCTTGCAGTCTTCCAGAGAGGGGAGGGAGTAAATAACTTACAGAATACACTCACACTTGAGCCAAACGTATTCCCTTTCTTGTTTAATCTTAAGCCACAGGACTGGCTTCACAGCACTGTTAGGATTGTCCATAAATGCCACTGCCTCTACAAACTTCAGATAGCTGGTTAATTGTGGATTTTCCAAGTTAAGTAAAGTATCAGTGTGCTCCTATGTGAATTTTAACACCTAAGTTAAAGTCAATTTTCCTTTGCATCGGTTTTAACTTGAGAAGAAAGAAATGTTTTGATTTGATGATTAGTATCAAGAGATGCTGCGTTCAATAATGCCAATCTTACCTTTTTCCTCTTAACTGGCGTAGATGGTGAAATACATTAATCACATCTCTTATTCTTCTGGGAGCTTCTTCAATTTTTGATGCAAGATTAATACAAGCCATGGCAACAATCTGAAAGAACCCACAAGCCCATAAAAGCTGTTAGGTTACGACACTATCAGGTGAAGTTAGGGAAAAGGGCCCCCTCTCGAAGCCTAACAGACTTATCTTCGTTGAAGACGCTTTAGGACACGATTTGCACAGCCTTTGGTGAACTAACACTACGTCTTTAGACCACAAGCTTACCAACTACACTATCACTGCTCTCTTTTTATCGCTTAAATCCTCTTAATTTCGAATCCAGAGTCAAGCTCAGTCTCACAGGAGTTTTCCATTTGGTCGAAAACTCTCTCCCTTGATAAGCGCGCACCCGGGCTCAGGATCCACTTTCTAGCTTGCTAACCACACTCCAGAAGCCCCTCCTACCGGGGTGAGAACTAGGACAAAGGCCTCCCCTAACCCCTCCCTCCTGGAGGCCGATGCGGACACCGCCCGCCCTCCCCGTTTCCGGGGGGAGAAAGCCCCTTCTCCGCCCCGCGGCGCTCACCTCGAAGCTGTGCTTGACGAAGGACTTGGAGTAGAAGAAGCGGTGAAACAACACCTGCCCGGTTGCCATCGCCACCTGCAGACGAGAGCGGAGACCGGAAGCGCAGGGTCAGGCGGGCCCGCTCGGCGCCGCCGCCATTTTGTGCCGCCGCTCGCTCCCTCCCTCCCTCCCCGCCGGGCCGGCCAGGCCGGCCGGGCCGCCGCCGCCCCCGCCCCGCCGGGACCGCGACCGAGGAGCCCGAGCGCCGTGCGGACGGCGCCGGGACGCGGCGGCGCGGAGGAGGGCGCCGGCCGGCCGGAGACTGACCTGCGGCAGCCGGAGGAGGATGCCGGCCGACTGGATGAGCTCGCAGCCCAGGATGCGCAGGTCCGTCTCGCTGGGCAGGTCGAGCCCGTCCTGCATGGACGGGGTGGGCGAGAGCCGCTCCTCCGGGATCAGCGAGTGGTCGATGGTAAGCGAAACTTCCGAGTACAGGCGATCTCCGATCAGGATCCCTCCCGTCGTGGTCGTCGTCGTGGTCGTCGTCCCGGAGCTGGAGCCGCCCGCGCTCGGGACGGCCGACGAGGCGGCGGCGGCAGCGGTCGCGGTCGGGTGAGGCCCGGACGCCATCGTCTCAGCGAGCTGCACGCACGCCCGACGCAGCCGGAACCCGGAGCGAGACTAACCAGCGTCCTCGGCGCGACGGATCTTCCCGTGACCGCCGAGTGCCGCCGCTTCACGCAGCGTGCGCTTCCGCCTGACGTCACCACGCCGGCCGGCGCGCCAACTAGTCCCTCAGGCCACGCCTGCGCCCTGGCGCCGCCGCCCGCCGGCCCGGGATGGGCGACTGCAAGCTGGGGTCTCCGGCTGTCTGGGATGACCTCTCAGCTGCGGCCCGAGTGGTCCAGAGGCCGTCTCTTTGGCTAAAACAGGTCCAAGCCTCCTTGCTTGTCGTATTTGGAGCCACAGGAACAATAAGGGAGCTTTACAAGACGCCCTCTCTCCAAGCTGGAGGGCGCCGTAGCGTGTCTAGGACGCGCCCCGCTGCCCGCCGCGCTCCCCGGCTCGCGCGGGCCCGCGTCCAGAGGCCTGGTGGGCCGACCTCGGCCGCGCCGGCGGGTGGGCGCGTCACTGTGTGCGCGCGGACGGGCTTGTCATTTGAAGCGCCCGGCGAGGGATCGGGACAGGGCTGCTTTACAGTATGCCTAGAAAAGAGGGCTGTGGACTACATCGGCGGCCGAGAAGCTCGGGGGCCTGGAGGAGGGCTGCTCTCGGGCGTCTCTGGGGAAGCTCGGCCGCGCGGCGCGGGCCCGGCTGGCGGTGATGCGGCCGGTCCCCCGGGCGAGGGCTCTCCCCAGGTGGTCTGGTTCTGCAGAGTCTGCGTGTCACGTGGTTTCTGCCAGCGGGCGGGACAGGAGAAACCCATTCATTTATATTTTCTCTGAGATGTTAGCTAGCAGTTCACAAAAATTTCCTCAAATTTGGAGTAGAAACAATGATACTGATCCAAACTGCGGGAGTCTAGAGTTGGAGGAAAAGGAGTAGATCTCGGTTAACTCCAGCCATCCGTTTATCCCACGCTTGAACTTCTCAGACTTTTGCCCAGGGATGAGAAGCCCCGTGTCTTTCTGGTAACATAGCTCGGTCTTAAGCCTTAATTTGTTTAGTTATGATAAGTGCATTGAAACTTGGATCTATAGAGCAAAGGGACTTTGAGTACATTTCAGTATTTCTCAATGATGTCAAAGTAAAACATACTTGAAAACCTCATTTAAAAAAAAAGTATCCAGTCAACCTTAGTAAAGCCTTTGGTCAGTAGTTCTGAGCCCTGGCTGCACGTTGACGGGGCTTCTGAGGAGCTTTTGAAAGATACGGACGCCTGAGCCCTCCCCGCAGAGGTTGATGTAGCTGACTTGCGGTGCGCCCAGTCAGGGGGGATTCTGCCCATCCTCCAGTGATTCGCATGTTCAGCCAGGCTGAGAAACGTTCCTCCGGGAGAGTGTAGTTGTGGTGCTGGCCCAAGCACTTGACGTCTGCGTGTCACCTCCTTCACCTTCCTGACTAGGCTGCTTCCCCAGAAACTGCCCTCCCCAGTAGTCAGGAAGGATTTGAAATACTGTAACAAACTTTGAAGTCTTTAAAAACTAGTTGATGATGTGCTATGGTTGTGCAAGTATCATTGCCCAAAGCTGAGTGAATGGTACACAAGAACTCTGCTGTTTTTACAACTTCTTGTGAGTCTTCAATTATTTAAAAAGAAACTAGTTGATAATATGTTTCACTGAAACATTGAGCTTCCATGAAATCAACACCTATGTTTGTAATGACTTGAGAGTAATAGGATCTAACTTGTTTTTAAGACTATTTCTTTTTTTTTTTTTTGAGGAAGATTAGCCCTGACATCTGCTAACATCTGCTGCCAGTCCTCCTCTTTTTGCTGAGGAAGACTGGCCCTGAGCTAACATCCGTGCCCATCTTCCTCTACTTTATATGTGGGGTGCCTACCACAGCATGGCTTGCCATGCAGTGCCACGTCCGCACCCAGGATCCAAACCGTTGAGCCCCAGGCCGCCAAAGCAGATTGAGTGAACTTACCCGCTGCACCACCAGGCTGGCTCCCCAAGACTATTTCTTAATGGAAGTTTTTCTCTTCTTTTGAGGGTCTTCCACCACGCCTCTCCAATAAGCTGACTTGGTGATGTCTTGATATGTTTTATATTTTTACCCTCTAGGTCCATGATTAACCGAAAAATGTTCACAAGCATAGAAGGGAGAAATTCTGGGACATGGAGGGGTCACGTGCTCTACTCCTGATGTCTTCCCAGTGGACCTTCCTGCACCCCACCTGCTGTGTCTGGCAGGCATTTCCAGAAGAGCAGAACCCCCCAGACTATTCCACATCTTTGTGCCCATTTTTCACTCTCTTCTGGCTGTACCTCAAACGATATCCAATAGATACGACTTTTCACTGTTCCCCGCTTCAGCTTCAACAAAGGTGGTCGAGGGGGTTGACCAACATTTTGTTTGCTTAGCATTAATTCATCAAACTGTGATGCTATTTTTAATTTTAATTTCTTTTTTAAAAAATCTATGACTGATTCGGAGGATGGAAAGCAATGGGTCTAGTGGCTCTGCTCCACAAGGTTGTATTAAGGACAAGGGTTAAAAAAAAAATTTTTATGACTCTCATATTCAAGAGTAAGGAGACGGGTTTTTGGTGTGCCCTCCAAACAGATGGAGGGAGTGTTGGCCTGCCGACACCTAGATTTTGGCCCAGTGAAACTGATTTAGGACTTCTGACCTACAGCACTTGTAAGAGAATAAATTTGTGTTGCCGTAAGCCAGTAAGTTTGTTGTAATTTTTTGTAGTAGTTACAGAAAACTAATGCAATGAGATTTACCATTTCCTGATATTCTTTAAGAAATGCTTCTCAAACTTTAAGATACATAGAAATCACGTGAGGGTTTTGTTAAACTTAATTCTGATTCAGTATGTCTGGGTGGAGCCCGAGTCCTCATTTCCATACAGACTCCCAGGTGATGCTGCAACTGCTAGTCCAAGGGCTATACTAGGCAGCGAGGCTTGAAAGCATAGATGACTTGCTCTGTTTTCCAAATCTCGGTATGGAGAAAGCAGAACCAGTGGTGGAGCGTGCTGGAGGCTCTGGAGTTAACTTGCTGGGGGAAAAGAAATCCTATCACTTAACAGTTTGCAACTTTAGGCAAACTACTTAATTTGCTTAAATTCTTTAGGCAATTATTTAAGTTCAGTTTTTTCACCAATAAAATGATGATATTAACAACACCGCAATATGTTTTTGTCAAGTGAGATGGTTATACAGGAATTCATGTTCCAATCCTTGGAAATGCACATTGTCTACCTGATGTTGGCCACCAGGGACTTTTGGTGTGCCAACTGTGAACAGTTTGTATTCATTCATTCATTCATTCATTTATTTTTAAACTCTTATTTGTTTATTGACAAGAAAGTACCAGGCTCGTAAGTATTCCTCGCTTTGGGGATGTTGATCAATCAGACAGATTCTGCCTTCAAGGAGTTTGCAGGTAATTCACACGTATATAAATGGGACAATTTTGGCTAATGCTTTTTAAATTTCGAAGGATCTATGGGATACATTATTAAGTGAACAAAAGGAAGTTCCAGCACAACGATTTGTATAGTGTGATCACTTTTTTATATGAAATTAACTATATATATATTGTACATAGATAGATATGTGGAAGGATAGGCGTGCTGTTACCTCTGGGGAAGGTGATGCGAGGGTTTCGGTGAGATTGGGGAATACAGACAGGTGGGAAGGGGCTTTCACATTTTCCTTTGTATAGTTCTCTATTGCAATACTTCTCAAACTGCCAATGGTGAAGGAACAATTCTTCCAACATGGTTTGGAATGATACTTTTGTAAAATCCAATAAAGATGTATTACTAGTAAAATGAAATTTTAAAAAACATTGAAAATGAAAGCCTGAATTATTTATTATTATGTTCAACAGACAAAGTTATTCTGTCAAATTGCCATAAAAGTTCCTAGACATTTACTCTCCATTTCTGTATTTATCTCATTGAGGACTGATAAGAAACAGTTCAGAGTTTGGTGCCAGACCATGGGCCACTCTGAGTAGCGTTACTCTTTGAATTTTTTTTTTAATAGTGAGCAATTGTTTTGAGAGAATTTCCAATTCAGTCTGATAATAGAAATAGGTACAAGGTAGAGAGATGGTTCCCAGGATGGGATAATTTTATGGACAAGCAAAGAAGGTGGCAAAAAAGTTATTTATGGTCTTTGTTTTAAAGATTTTTTAAGTTTTCTCTTTTTCTCCCCAAAGTCCCCCGGTACATAGTTGTATATTTTTAGTTGTAGATCCTTCTAGTTGTGGCATGTGGGATGCTACCTCAGCATGGCCTGACGAGTGGCACTGTGTCCGTGCCCAGGATCCGAACCAGCGAAACCCTGGGCCACTGAAGCGGAGCACGCAAACTCAACCACTTGGCCATGAGGCGGCCCCTGGCCTCTGTTTTAAAGACTCCATAGGCATTTGTCAGGAGAATAATTGTAGAAGAGCGTTTTAGGCAGAGAGAAAACAGGAGCCAGGTCAGGGAGGTATGAGACTGCTGGGCGTGTTGAGAAATATGGTGGACAACCGTTGTTTTAGCCTGCCCAGCGTCCAGTCTGCCTTCTTCCGTTTTCCCTTGGGGACCCACAACTTCTCCATTCCTAGGGTAGGTCGTTTGGGTGGGGCTGACTTCTACCCTAGCTCACAAACTAATCAGTGTCTCCCACCCCCCTTCACCTCCTCCCCTGGTTGGTCGGGTTTGGATCCTGGGTGTGGACCTGCTCCACTCATCAGCCATGCTGTGGAGGTGTCCCACATATACAAAGTAGAGGAAGACTGGCATAGATGTGAGCTCAGGGCTAGTCTTCCTCAGGCAAAAAAAGAGAGGATGATTGGCAACTGATGTTAGCTCAGGGCGACTCTTCCTCAAAAAAAAAAAAGAACATTTACTTCTTCAAGCTTTTCTAGTAATTTCATTTTGTTATTCTTTGTTTCCCTCTGGGGCCGGGCAATTTAAAATAGGAAGGACCTAGCAAGTTCCTGAAAATGACATTTTAAAGAATGATTCCATTTTCCTTGTAAGGATTGAGTTATAATTTAATTTTGAGCAAAGAAGTAGCTGACTCTGTTTTTAGTATTTCTGTTTCCAGTAAACATTCAACACAAGCAGACTTTCACTGATTAAACTTTTAGGAATAGTAAGAATCAGCTTTGCTAAAGCTCCCTACACATTTAATTAGTTTTATCAACAGGAGCAGGAAGCAACTCTGGGATTCCAAAGGACACCTTAGCCATTTTGAACATTAGAAAACAAACATAAAAGCGCCCCACATCAAGTTCCCTGCATAGAGTTGTCATGTCTCTCTAATCTACAACAATTCTCTAGCGTTTTTGTCTTATGATATTTTTCATGATTACAGACCTCTGTTTTGGAGCAGTCCCTCAATTTGGATTTGACTGTGTCATTATGATTAGATTCAGGCTAAACATTTTTCCAGGAATACTCCATAGATGGTGTGGTATTCTCCAAGCTTTACAGCAAGGGGCACATGATGTCCAATTATTGTCCAACTTTTGGTTACTTTTAACCATTTGGTTAAGATGGTATCCACCAGATTTATCCACTGTAAAGGTACCATTAGCCAGCCCAGGTGGTCTAGTAGTTAAGATTCAGTGCTCTCACCACTGCGGCCTGGGTTCCTTTCCTGGTCAGGGCACCACACCCTGTCTGTCGGTTGTCATACTGTGGTGGCTGCGTGTTGCTGTGATGCTGAAAGCTCTGCCACAGGTATTTCACATGCCAGCAGGGTCACCCATGGCGGACACGTTTCAGTGGAGCTTCCAAACTAAAACTAAGTAGAAGGACCTGGCCACCGACTCCCGAAAAATATTGGCCCTCAAACCCCTGTGAACAGCAGTGGAGCATTGTCTGATGTAGTGCTGGATGGTGAGACGATGGTGCAAAAGAGGCTGGCAGGGCTCCACTCTGCTGTACACAAGATCGCTAGGAGTCTGAATCGACTTGATGGCACTAACAACAAAAGGTACCTTTACAACTTTGTGATTAATAGGGGCTGGCCCAGTAGCACAGTGGTTATGTTCACACATCCCACTTTGGCTGCTGGGGGTCTGCCAGTTCAGATCCCTAGTGCAGACCTATGCACCACTCGTCAGGCCATGCTGTGGCAGGCATCCCACGTATAAAGTAGGGGCAGCCAGGCACAGATGCAGATGTTAGCTCAGGGCCAGTCTTCCTCAGCAAAAACAGGAGGATTGGCAGCAGATGTTAGCTCAGAGCTAACCTCCCTCAAAAAGAAAAAAACGTTTGTAATTAATAATCTGTGGGATGATTCTTTGGCAACAAATAGCATTCTTAATAACAGGTCTCAGGGCTGCCCGGTGGCACAGTGGTCAAGTTCATATGCTCTGCTTCGGCAGCCTGGGGTTTGCAGGTTTGGATCCTGGGCGCAGACCTGTGCACGGCTCATCAAGCCATGCTGTGGTGGTGCCCCACATCCAAAAATGGAGGACCAGTGGCACAGATGTTAGTTCAGAGACCATCTTCCCCACCAGAAAAAAACACAAAACCACAAATCTTACAATGTTTCCAAGAAAAATGGTCCACAAGGAAACTTCTTCGAGTTGGACTCATTTCAACAAATCTCTAGTCAGTCCTCGTTAATCTGTGTTATTCCTCGGTGCTGAGATGGAAGTGGAAGTGGTGAAGACTGACCAGCACACGGGACATCAAATGCTAAAACAAAGGGCAAAATCCCCCGGAGAATGTGGAGCGGGACACAGACCACACTAAATGCGCGGGGAGGGAAGCTGAGGATCGAAGCCACGGCCGAGGTTTCAGACGGACGGCAGAGCCCAGAGGAGGACTCCGGTTCCCGCCGGCGGGCCCAGCGTCCCGTGCTGACCGCACCCACGGGCGTCGGGAGGCTGGTTCCCCAGCACAGGCGTGACATCTGCCACGCCGCGCGGACAGCTCGGGCAGCTCACTGTGCAACCTCAACAAGCTTTCTCCAGACCCTCCAGAAGGCGCCTCAGAGGAAATTTTATTTGGGCTGATTTAAATATTTACGTTGTGGCATTAGACCCATGGAGACTCAGTCTGGTTTTGCCTCAGGGACGTGTTTCCTCACAGCGACAGTGATACCCGCACACACCGCGTAACCGGATATTGCTCATCTGCCACACCTTGAAACTAACACACAAGATTTTTCTGTTCACAAATCGGGAAAGGACTCGAGGTTTCTAACTCCTCCGCCCCGGGGGCAGCCTCCCGCCGACACAGCGTGACCGCACAGCGCAGCGCGCTCCCTCAGTCTGGTGACAGCGGCTCGCTCGAGCGGGGCCCAGGGCCGGCGTGCCAGGTCGGCGGGGTCACTGACTGCTTCGCCTTTCGATTTAAGAATACCTAGCGTACACCTGGTCCTCAGGACAGAATAAGGGGGCCCGTCCTCACACGCGGCGGGCCGCCGATGGAGCTGCCTTGAAGCACCCGGCAGGGCCGGCGCGGCTTCCGATTGAGAGCTGCAGCCGGAGGGGCGCTGTTCTAGGCACTGTGTGGGGGAATCCCGGGGTTTAATCTGTTCTGAGCAGCTCTGGGCTGCAGACGCTGCCATCCCACCGGTCTCCCCCTGGGCCGAGGGCACACTGGGCGGGAAGCTCCAGGAGCGATTTCACGCGAGGGCCGCGGCGCCCGCCCCCGGCTCGCCCTTCTCTCCTGATCTGGCGCCCCGGGCGTCCCGCGGCTCGGGGTGAGGGCGTTTAAGTGACCGGCGGCAGCTCGCGCTTCCCGGAAGGGCTCTGGCGGTGACTCAGGGCCGCCTCTCGAGGGGGCTCTCCGCGGGGAGGGCGCAGGGGCTGCTCGGGGGGCCTTCCCCTCACGGTGGGCTTGGCAGCGCCGGCGCCGGCGCCGGCGCCAGGGCATCGAGTGACCGAGCGCACGCCAGGCCTCACGGCGCTCGGCCAGGGGACGGCCGCGCCCAGCTCCGCCACCGGACATGGGCGACGCCTGGCTGGGCTGCCGAGGGCGGGGGCGAAACCATTTCATCGCGGCCCAGCGGGAGGGGCACGCCCGCCCCGTCACTTCGAGGAAGCCGAAGCCTGCCAGGCCGCGCACGGGCCGGAAGGGCGGCGAGTCAGGGACCATTCTGCGCACGCGCGGCGCCCCGCCCGCACCCGGTCGCGTTGAGCGGCTCCCTCCGCCAGCTGCCGGATCTAAGTCGTCGGCCTTCGCCGCCGCCGGCCTGCCGCCCCCGCGCCGCCGTGACGCAGCCGGCCCGCCCTTCGCCCCCGCGGCGCCGGCTCCTTGTGACGTCGCAGCCGAGCCCTCCCACTTCGTCCCGAGCCGCGGCGGGGCGGCGGGGCGGCGGGGCGGCGGGGCGGCGGGGCGGCGGGGCGGCGGGGCGGCGGGGCGGCGCTCGTGACCTGTCGGGAGCTCTGTAGGGAAGGACCCGTCTTTTGTAATTTCCTACGGTTTCCTAATAAGGGTGAAAATGCGGGCACCTCTGAACTTGCAAGCTGGGAGTTCTGATACAAGTAAACTACAGAATTTGTTGTTATTCGGGTTTATTTGGAGGCTTTTACTTGTCGTTTTTATGTGTTCTCTTAGTGTGTAAATTGGAAAAAAGGGTGGCATCCATAAAATGACGACTTTGTATATGGAGGCTGGGATAAGCAGTACCTAGTCTGGCTTGATGAAATCAGTGTAATTTTAGTTTAGATGAAATCTAGTTTTCGTTTGCATTATCCAGGAGTGGCATCTGGAGAGGCTCGGTGTAAAAAGCGGTTAAAGAGCTTCCAGGAGTGGTTAATCCTTTTGTAAGCTATTTGAAGCCAAAATGGAAATCAAGGTATATTGGAAGTAAAGTAAGAATTTAAGCTTC